TAAAACAAAACTCAGTAGAGCAAGTGGCAACTTAGGGTCAGGAAGGCAGTAGGGAATGGATGACACACTATGAATAAGGATAAAAGACACTGCTGCAATCTTTAATTTTCAATTTTGTTGGATTTTGAACCACTACTGTTATTTGTGAGTGGTTATGTTCCCCCAAATCCTTTGTAGAGAAGTGAAGGTAGAGATTTAAAACTTATTAGCATATAGATTGTGGTTTAAATAGCAAATCTTTACATATGAAGAAAGGATAAAGTAGAGCAAAGTGACAGAAGATTCACTGATGGTTATAGAAAGAGAAATGTACAGTGACAGTAAGCTCTCAAGTCTCAGGAATGTGGGAGAAGCAGCATGAAACTGTTCTTATCAATTCCAAGAAACAAGAGAGCATCAAATAGCAATCAAGACCATCCAAATATCATGTAGTCTAGTGAGATGAAAAATGTCAATTCTTTTGCAACACATTTACTTCTCAATAGAAAAATCGTGAAAATATTTTTACATCAGTATAAGCCAATAGGATTGTTAAAACGAACATGCCCTTTTTCAACACTAATATACAAATACACACATGTATGTGCATTCATAGTCTGTGATTGTGAAAGACATTATCATACCTGTCAAAGTGTTGTCCATCAAGCAGAGCTATCATAACACAGTGTATCAGAAAATAAATATTTAGAAAATTTGAAAATCATCATGAAGACTATGGAGGAATTAAACTAGATAATACAATAGAAAAAATACATTACTAAATTATATTTTATATAAAACTTTGTGTTTTAAAAGCACTTTTACAAATACTTCTATACTGATAGTACATACCAAAAGTATGTTTGTTGAATTAGTAATAATATAAAAAATTATTTACAGAGAAAATAGGGAGAAATAGAAGTAAATGCACATAAAAGCTCTGGACTAGAACTGCTTTTTATGGTTTTAGCTGTCAATATGTTGTTTTTGTAGGAATGTAAGAAAGAGATCGAGGGGAATGGAAGGGTGTAAAGTACTTACCTTGTCCTTTTTAGGTTTTTTTGTTAACTTGTGAAGCCACATCTACCTTATTACCAACATTTTAATACTTTAACATTCATTATTAAGTTAGACATACTTTGGGGCTAGGGATTTAGCTCAGTGGTTCCGCTGCCTGCCTCGCAAGCACAAGGACTCAAGTCTGATCCCCAGTACCAAAAAAAAAAAAAAGTTACACATATTTTATCTAGCACTAATATGTGGTATGGGTAATATTATAAATATGAAGTCTGTAGGAAATAATGTCATAATATAACAAATATATAAAAATATCTCCACCACTTGCCTTAATGTTACCACCTTGAAATGCTACATTAATTAAATAAATGTGCATGTATAGAAATATAATTGGTTTCCTTGATTTTTGTGTATAATTTATATCTAAAACCATGAATTTTATATACATTATGTATAAGTATATAGACACAAAAGAATTCAAGAAATTATTTCATAATAACTTGCATTCTTGATAATAAAATTGTTAAATAAATTTTTATCCATTAACTAGACTACAAAAAACTAAATTTTCAATAAAAAGTATTTAATTTGGAATGTAATTACAGAAAATACTAAAGGAAGGCATATACAACATTTGTGCATCGATAAAGTGCTGTAAAATTGATCATTCTCTCAAGATTTATATAATCCATGGAAATGATAATGAAAGCCACTTTACCGCACATCAAACACATAAAAAAATACACACAGACTGAAGGTCTACAATGAAAAAAGAATTGAGAAAATTGCGTACACAATTTTTCTATAATATCAAATTTGGAAAAAGTCTCAGAGTCATACCATAAAGGGATACATTGATATATTTAATGACGTGAAAATTTTAAGACAAATTTAGCACCCTTTCTGAAGCGGTTCTGAAAGCCTTGTTTCATGAGTGACATTATAAACTGAGTTAAAAAATACAGTGACTGCTGCCGCCACGGGAGACGCCGGCTCATACAAACATCACAGTGCATCCTCACCCACCTTAGTCACAGGATCTGGCACCGTGGAACCTCTGGATCTTCCCTGAAGTCAAAATGACCGTGAAAAGTAAAGGTCTGCAATAGATTCAGGGCCCTGAGGCAGCCATGACAGCAAAACTGCACATACTCCTGAAAGAGAACTTCCGGAACTGCTTCAGAAAACGGCAAGACGATGGGGTAGATGCGTCCGTACCGAGGAGGAGGAGCATGGAGAGCAAGCGGGAGCACGTCAAGGGGCACATTCATGGCAATGTGTCTTTCACTGTAATAATTTTTAATCAAGTATTCACTGTATTTTTCTATGACAACTTGTCTGAGAAATTTGTTGAAGCCATTGTAAAGCCAGCAAACATGAAATGTACTCAAATCACTGGAAATTAGAGAAATGCGATTCAAAGAAAATATTATGTGGTTTCTCATGAAGATATTTTAGCAAAATTAACATTTACGGAATTTTATAACAAGAGTGGTTGCGGGATTGAAAAAGTTTATTCATATAGGTCTTGAGGATGTAATTTTAAAGATATTTGCAGAAAATGTGGGCAGTCAAGTAAATTTGAAGAGGTTTATATTTATTAGACAGAAAGCATCACCAAACATATTTTCTAGAATCTTGCACATGTAGGCAAGAAGACAGACAACAAATATTTCTTCATTATTGTTTGAAATTGTAAAAGAATTTATTCACATTCTGAAATACCCTTACAAAGTATATAAAATCACTTAAATAGAGCTGTGTGAAATGCATAAATAATTATAAAAATATTTGGACAAACATTGAAATGCCAGAAGAACATGCTTACTGTTATGTTTTCTGTATTTTAGAGTAATTATGAACCGATATTTTTGTGCATCCATAAATATAGAAGACATATAAGAGAGTTAAAAATTAATGGAAAAATAATATCTACTAAAAGTAATAATTGATACTTTTGGGAAAGTATTAATAATTTTTGGAAAGGCTTGAGCAATTATAGTCATATTTGTGTTGTCTTTCTTAGACAAGTTCTCACCAAGTTGCTAAATTGCCTAGGCTGGTCTTGGATTTGCTATGCTCCTGCTTCAGCCTCCCAGAGTAGTAGGATTACAGCTTTGTGCCACAACACCCATGTTCCATTTGTATGCTGCAGTACATAAAATGTCTATCTGTGACACATATAGTAAAATTTTAATCTGCACTAACCATGGAAACATTATGGATTTCTCTATTCTAAGTTAATTTATATTTGCAAATTTCACAATTAAATTCCATACACACATTCATGTGATAACATCACAGTATACTTCAATGTAATAAAAACTGCAAGACATTTAGTTTCCATGCTTTCTCATCTTTCTCTGAGGTCTCTGTGTTATAATCACATGATATTTGCTATGAGCATCTCTTACTTTTTATTTACCTCTATCTGAGGTAAAACTACAACACAAATGTTAACACGTGTTTGATATAAACAGGTGATGGCTCAGACATCTCAGGTACTTTATGTCCTTGAATATGAAGATTTGGGAGGTGACGTAGAATGTTAGTGAGTCTGACTGTGATCCTAGCACTCCAGAGGCTGAGGAAGCAGAGACACAGCAATTTAATGAGACCCGCAAAGTAAAACAATGAAAAAAAAAAGGATTGGGAATGTACCTCAGTGAAAATCCCTGGGTTCATTCTCCAGTAATAGGGGACAAAAAGAAAGAAAGAGGAAAACAAAAGACCTGTTAGCACCTTTTACTATTTGGTTGTGAATAGAGACATTAACAGGAATTTCGTGTAACAAAAACCAACAGACTCTATGACTTACCGGCCTGTGTTTCTTGTAGTTTCTATTGTGCTCAGCACAGTGCCCAGCACACATCAGGAGTTTTCATATACAAATTAATATTTACTTGTCCTCCTGGAGGTGGTAGGAATCACACAGTAAATGAGAGACTCACCATAATCCAAAAAGCACCTATCATTGTTCTTTTATAAAGAAAAACTTCAGAGGTCAAAAAGTAGTGGTTTACCGGAGTTATTACAGACCAACGGGGGGGGGGGGAAGGGGAGAAAGCGGAAGTAACATGACTTATCATCTGGTTCATGACCTCTGACGATAAAGAGGTGTGAGCCAGGGAAAGACAAATAACTGCGTGAACAGAAAGCAGAAGTATTACTGAGGTGTGACAGACAATGTTTCGTGTTTCTGTGATGTTATATTTCATACAGTATTCCATTTCTGGGGAAAAATTGAGTGGGTTTACTTTCCAAATTTAGGCGAAGCCACATGACTTCCATGTGTTCAGCATCGACTTTATGTTCTCGCCATCATATCCTGACACATTGACTGAATTTGATGTCTCTGTGAGTCACTGCATAAATGGTTTTAACCTTTCCTTATTATAAGAAATGGTTATTTTGGGTTGCCTATATTACCTCTTCATCTTTTTTTGGGACACAGTAACATAGAAAAGGAGACAGTGACTTATGTGCCTTAAAAATAAGGGCACAAAAGATTGAAACAGAACATTCTGTGATTTAACCAGAATGAAATGCAGGTGAATATTTTTAAACTAGGACATAACCTCAGATTAACTTTTGTGACCATTTCCTGGTGTTGAGGACTCTTAAAGAAAAAGTTATGTTCTTAATGATTACCACTGTACTGTTTGTATTTGAATTTGGATCTTGGCACTGACAATTTATTTTCAGAACAAAGCCCGTGCTGTTTAAATCAAGCGTGGAAATGCAGATAACTTTTTGACAATTGCACTTTAAAGCTATTTAGAACAAAATTAAAGAGTAGGCTTTCTTCCTAATGCCTCTATACTAGTCAGCATTACCGCTTCTCAAATAATATATTCTTTGCACAGTAGAACTCTGTGTGCGTCTGTGTGTTGGAATGAGGAGAGTATGTGTTTGGATACAGCTGGGAAAGGGAGAATTTCACTTTTGACAGGAAAGAAACAGCAACTACATCTGCGAAGTTTCTGTTTCTATAAAAAGAATACCTGCTAGCCTGCTGACATGAGGCAGACTCAACTGCAATGTTGAAAGATTAAGGCCAGCTGGTGTTTTTCCAGTTGATTTGCATTTCTGGAGCTCAAGGTGATCCCCCTGTATCTTTAAAGGATGTCGATGACTCAAAAAGTTGGCATCTTCTGAGGATGCTGATGCTACCTCTTCTGGAGACATAAAAAATCAAGTCGGAGAGAAGCACAAATAGAAATGATTAACATCAAAGTGGTTAATTTGCAATAATTGCTATATGCATGTTTATCATGTTGATTAAGTCTATTTATAAAGGTCCTAAGTATAATCTATATCCTGAAATTGTGTGGGAAAGGTGCAGGAATGCACAGAAAGAAATTACATCCCTATGTTGGAGATAAAGAAACTGTTCAATTAAATGAAAAAGAAATTGGCCATAAAAATTAGATTGGATTAAGCAAAACAAACTTCATAAGCCTATCAGGCAAAATATCACTGGTCATATCTTATACATAAAATAATTATTGACCACTTCTCTTTTATTTATCTTCCCTTCTTCTACTCTGCGTGCCCAATACCACAACCACCAACTTGAGGCCTCAACTCCCCTGCTGTTCAATTTACAAGTCCAAGTAAATGCATTGTGAACCATAGGCATAAGTTCTCAAAACTTATACATGCTATTAGTTACAGGGTGACCCGTGCTTAATGTATTTTTTCCCTGTCTACTCTTTCAGACAAATTAATTTATTTGAATATTTTTGAAAATTTAATTATGTTCATTGTACTCAAGAAGCCTTACATCTTCCCATAAATTCTGCAAAATATCAAAATAATTTTAATTTTAATATATGTATTGAAACACATTGGACCAAGTATAACAATGTGGAGATAAAATTAAAAATTATTTCTTAAAAGGTTTTTGAAAGTAGCATCATTATTGAAATTAGTACAAATAATCTTGTATTAAACTTCAAAGCCCTTGATTTGAAATAAAAATGATTTCCATAAAATTGATCTGTGTTCACTTTAATGAAGTAATGTACATTTTAAAGGACATGAGTAACAAAATTTTATTTGCCTAAGGTTCTGGTATCATTAGTTAGGAAATTACAGAATATATTTTTTACCTTTTCTGAATATGCTTAATTTAATAACTGAAGGATGGAAGATATACAATAGAGATCAGGTAGACAGACAAGGGTGTTGGTGACTTTTTTTTCCTCTCAGCAACTTACTTCTATCAACTAATGTTCCTTGCCTAGAAATTGAAATATTTAACAACAACGTTGCCCATCTGACACTTACTTATTCTTCAGCCTCTCCACATTGGAGTATTGTATATTGTTTGCACAGAAAAAGATGAATTAAATTGACTTCCATTTGGAGAACTTAATCTATCTTTTAGTCAGTGTCTTATCAATGAACAAAGTGTTTTTTGACTCCCTACAGTCTTCTGAAGTCCTCAAATGCCACAAATTCTATCAAATTTATGGAATTCTCACTATGTAAATCATGATGGGAAATAAATATAGCCTTTGAATATGCTATAGAAATATTTTACTAGCAATTTTCCCATGAATTTAGATATCTTTGACCTAAAAATTACTTTATAAATCTACAGATTGGTGAAGCAGTTGCAAAAGTGAATTAAGTCAAATTTTTAAAACATTTTAAATGAGATATAATTTTGATGAGTTAAATACTTTAGGAAGAATTTTTTAAAGAAAAATACTCTAAACCTGTTAAATATGCCAAATATAAATGCATGGATTTAGATCTTTTAAAGCAATGCTTTTAAATACAATCAATGTTGAAATTTCAAAAAGTATACCCTATATGTATAGCTCAGTAGAAACAACAAAGAAAAGTATCAGCTCTAATTAAAATTCAATTTTGTATGATTTAAGGTCATTTCAGAATATAGTGTTTAAAATGACTTTATAATATCATGGCAAATTTAATGTCAGATATAATAATAATTAATTAACCTAGTTTGACATAAAGTTCATAATCTTAATAGATAAAATCTACTCACCTGATTCAAAAATCAAGTAAAATATGCAAATGAAAGATTATTTATTTTAGTAGCTATTTAGTTGGTATGAGAACTTCCTTCACATATTAATGTGTTAGTGAGCTATCTGCTAAAAGAGTGAATCTCATCTCAGGAAAGTAAATTGGAAATAATTTAATTTATAATAAGAATAAAGATGCAATAGATAAATTTATGCAACATCTGTTGTGGGTTTTAGACTATGATTGATGTGAATAATCATGTATTATTGTAGAGTCACATTTATTATATCTGAAATATTAATAAGGTACTTGAGGTCTTTTTAAGAGTTGCCTTGTAACAACCTCTAAACAGACTTATTTGAAGATCTATTGACTCAGAAGGAAAATAACTTAAAAGGCAAACCTGAGTCTATATTGTTCCTAAGTAGTAACTTGGAAGTTAATATACACTCAATAAAACCATGATTTCCTGCAATATAAAATCTAGCCAAGTAATCATATGATTATTTTATGTACTAGTGACCTATTTTAAATCAAATATATGTAAATGTGTTTTAAGGGATGTATAAAACTAAAGAAGATTGCTGAGAACAAAGGATTTAACGGTTATTGAAGAACCATTTTTGTTTATTAGGTGAATAGAAATATTAAAAATACCATTAATATATACTGTTTAAAAATTGAACAGGGGAATATTCTGTAGCTCTCTAGTGTAATGGGAACAAGGAAAATGGCTACAGAATTAGTCGTGAATAACAATTACTCCACTGTGTAAGCTTAGAGAAGTTAAACCTGACTCAGTTTCAATTTGGTCATTTATTACATGGAATGAGAGCAATGCCTCATAAAGCTGTGAGGACAAAATTAGACAAAAACAAAAAGCGGTTACCAGAATGTTAGCAAAATAATAGGTACTTCATAAATTTAAATTTCTAAAAAATTTAACAATATTAGATAGTATTATGTATTTTTACTGGTAGATATTCTTAATTGCAAACAAGATGTATATTAATGATAGATTAAGAGCTAAAGAAATTGATAGTACTATGTGATTTCATTTATGGCCTGATGTTACCAAACAATGGGAAGATACAATATAGAATTAGAAAACAATAAAATTCCTAGGGTAAAAAATAATTGTTAGAATATTCTTTTAATTTAATAACCTGATAGTGGCAATGGCATTGTTGAAAATTGTGACATAGTGAAAAGCTTCGGTAAAGTTATCATACACTTTCAGGTAACCAAAGTTTTAGAAAAGAGAATTTTCAATTTGAAACTGAAAAGGAATTGTATCTATACTTGCAAAGCAGGAAAATTTGGCTTTAACATTTATTTGTTAGTGAATATACACTGGCATTGAGTACATAGAGGTTTACATTATGTGCTGTTCCTTCTAAATTGTATAATTATATAGTTTCCTCCAGAAAGAATTTCTTCACTTGCCTCCTTCAATTTATTTTTTGAAGTTTTAATTGAGGAGAAATCTCAAAACAGTGAAATGTGCAGATCTTAAATGTAAAATTTGATGAATTTTGAAAATACCTGTACCACTGTGACCAATACTTTGTTTATACACTGCAGAATATTTCTTCCCCCAAAACAGGTTAGCTGTGGGTCTGTCTACTGAATCCCCATATCCCATAGCTAATGCTTGAACTGCTTTTTTATAACATATTTAATTGATCTCATTTGATGTATAAAACAAGAATCAAAGAATATGTACTTAATTGATCTAATTGATAAGAGAAATATACTGAACTTGAATAGATTATAATCATGTCCAGATAGCAAACTTCCTTAATAAATTTAGCAGGAGAAAATATGTTTTTGAATAACACAAAGATTAAACTGGAAATCAATAATTTAAAATAAAAAATTATCCAAATATTTGGATATGACACAACCTACACTTAAATAAGTGCTATGTTAATGAAGTTTTAAGAAATATCAAAAATAATATTTTAAAATGAATAAAACTCGGTATTTTGCAAAATGTATGGGATGCCTCAAAACTTGGAAATGTTTTTACTAGGGGAATAAAAGTGTTACAGAAATGAAATGAGAGCCATTTTTCCAGATGAGCTCATTAAATTATTATTTATTTTAACCTTCTGCCAAGTGGATTACATTGAACAAGAGGAAAAACTCAGGCATTTAGGATATGAAGTACAGGAGTGAAATAAATTGAATCAACCCATTTCATTCTTGAGAAACACAGGCTCATTGAAGAACATGTGCGTAGCCATTTATGACATTTCTTTACTGTTATGAATAAGCTTTCTTCCTAAATTAGAGTTAATGCCTAAGAAGTCAAGATGAATAGAACTGCTGAGGTATACATTGTCCTAGCGAGACTCTTTCTTGTCAGAATGTCTCTTTGTGATGAGTTTTGTTTATGAGGATGGCAGAGCTGTGAATTTCTTTGATGTGGTTAAATTTCATCAACTCAGAATAAAATACTTTAGTCTATCATTGTCATTAATGATCAAACCCTCCTTCTCTCTCTCTCTCTCTCTCTCTCTCTCTCTCTATATATATATATATACATATATATATATATACGAAGTATTATTTTTCTTTTCTTTTCACTTGCTTTGTAGACAGGGAAGACCACCCATATTTCCAGGAATCTCCACCAGGGGAATCTGAGTAGATTGTGGCATTCAACTTTCAGGCCAAGTCTTCCAAGAAGTGCGCCCATTCCACATTGTCTTTGCTGTTCTGCTGGTGGAAGAAGCGTAGAGAATCCAGGGAATTATAAAGTTGAAGCGATTTCTGTCCTGAACACCTGAGTGAACATCACTCACCAACTAGGAAAACTTTATTAGTCCTTCCAATGTAGCAACCACCAAAATGGCACTAACAGGATTACCCTACCTATATAATTACTCCATATATAAATGCACTGGGTTAACAGAGATAAGATCACCTCACTGACATCAGCATTAGAACGTATATTTTGAATTTGAGCAAGAAGTTGAAATCTCTTTCACAATTTAAGGAAGTGTGATTAAATCAAAACACAACTATTTACTTCTGATATGTGACCTGAATAGACTTGTTAATTATATGCAATCAAATTATGAAGTGAGCAAGCTAATTATAAACAATTTAATGCAGATGTTCAACTAAGAATATGGCAGGATCTCAGTTTCCATAAGGACTCAAAATATAACCAATATTAAATTTTTAAAACACCCTGTTTATGTGATAAACCACAAATAGTGCTTTTTTTTTTCAGTCCCTCCCTTCAGGATTTTATTAAAACAGCCCAAAGAATATAGAAAATAATTCTGAAAACATTGCAATGTTTTCAATAAAGAATTGCACTAGAAATGACAGAACTCTCAAGATAATTACAGAATAAAGAGTGCAATCAAACCAAACTCAGGAGAGTAGGGAAATCAGATTTATAATATCCATTCCTCTAGAAAACATGTGACCTCTAAAACTATTGTGGAAGGTCCTAGCTGACCTTACACAGTGAGAGCTGGAAATGGCACAAACCTTCAAGGACACAGTTTGGGATTTTCTTACATATTCAGTGAGAGGATTTTGAAGCCGTGACACATGTATATAAAACACATATGATTATTTGTATTGAGAAACTTATAATCACTAATCAATGTCAGTAGAAGAGACTATTTAGACTAAACCAGCCAAATAAAGAGGAGTGCTAGTAAAGCTAGAGAATACTGTCAAGAAATTTTGGAAAATACACGTGGATCCTCAAGTCAGACCAGCCTCACATACAAAGAACATGGGTTATAATCAGAATTTTAGTTTTAATTTATGGCCAAAGTCTTGAGTTATGTCCCCAATTCCCATCCCATGACAGAGAAGCAAATGTAAGCGTACATGTCAGTCTGAGCCCACATGCTCCTGTTTGTGGAGGTGATTTCATCAGTGCTCTATATAATCACTAGAATTATTGCTATCAGATTGGCCACAAAAAAAGCTGGAAAAGACGCTAAAAGAGGAAGGGAAGGTAAAGAAAACAGTCACAATAGAAAAGAAAAAAAAATTGTGGAGAAATATGAAAATGGAGTTCATGTAACCATTCTCACTAATATGTACAGCATGTCGAAACCCTCCATCTCAACAATCTTAGAGGAAAATATTTATAGAAGGAAGCTAGTGTTGCTAAAGGAGCTCCTCAAATTAGTAGGTCACAATCCACAGTGTTAGACAAAGTTGAAAGGATATTATAAGTGTACATAAATGAAAGGCTGATGGCAGGTTGTAGCCCATTTTAGTCTATAATTTATGCAAAAGCTAGCAGATCTCCTAAAGAACAATTAATCAATGAGTAATAATGGTGAAACATTTCGTGCCAGTGAAGAGTGGTTTCACCATTTTAAAGAAAGAACTGGGGTTCCATAGCATAATTAGGCAGGTGAAGCAGCTAGTATGGATACAAGGGCTGGTGAAAATTACACACATCTCTTTGAAATGAGGATGACAGTAAATGGCTTTTGCTCTCATCAAGTTTTCAACTGCAATGAAACTGGTCTTTTGTGGAAGAAAATGCCCAGGAGACCATAAATTACCCAGGAAAAGAAGAAAACACCAGGCCACAAGCCCATGAAGGATAGGCTAACTTTATTGCTATGTGCCAGTGAAAAATAAAGATGAAACTCATTTGGTTTATCACTCTAAGGCCCCTGGAGTGTTCATAAAACATGAAGTCATAAAGATTAGACTGGAGGTTATGTGGAGATCTAATGCAAAATCTTGGTAATAAGTACATTTTCTTGAGTAGATCAGGGAGGCTTTCTATCCTATTGTAAAGAAATATCTCGAGCACAAAAGTTTACCACTCAAAGATCTTCTCATCATGGACAATTCTCCTGCTCACCTATGAGATCTGGAAGAAGAACTGGCTGAAGAATTCTCATAGCTTTCAGTTGAGTTCCTCTCATCTAATACAACTCCTTTACTGAAGCCAATGAACTAGCAGTTTATAGTAACTTTAAGAAGCTATACACCAAGGAAGCATTCCTGGAGGACTTCCATATGGTTTCAGATCCAACTCTGGAAAGCACCTTACAACATCCTTTCCTGTGTGGGGTTAATTGAGAAATATTGGGCCAATGTCTCTCTAAGGACACTGAGATCTTCCGGGAAGGAAGCATTCCTAAATGTATACAGAAGAGAGACTTTGAAGGTTGTATATATGAGCCTGAGCCTTTAATTAACTCTGTGGTTGATGACATTGCCACTATAGCAGAGTCCATAGGCTTGCAGGTACACAGTAGTGATGTTGAGGAACTTGGGGAGGAACACTCAGAGGAATTGTTCACAGAGGGACTTTGGCAACTTCTTACTGAACAACAGAGAAGGGCCGCTGAGGGGCTTTCACAAGCAGAGTAGGAGCGTCAACAATTACTGCAGCAAAGTTCTTCTGAAATGAAGGAAATCCAAAAAAAAAAAAATTGACAGAGAAGATCCACGCAAACAGAGAAAAAGCCAATCATTGTATCCACTTGCTTACGACAATGGCGCGTCATACTACAGAGGAGTGTAAAGAAAAGACAGAAACGGACAATCTTAGACCAGTTTTTAGTTCTGAAAACGTTGACACCTACTGAGCTAAAAGCAGGTCCGAGTGGGCTGCAGACTCTTCCAAGGAGAGAAAGGACGGTAGAGAGCCAGATTCCTGATGTTCTTGTTGAAAGGGACTCTCCTTCCAAACAAAAATACCTTCTATTTCATCCTCCCTGCAAGCCAAAGATGTCAACTTGAGTTGTGAATACAATATGAAATTGCTGTTTCTGATAAACTAGGAACATCTTATAACTATTTTATGAGTACACTAGAAAAATTATTAGTGTTTCTGGTAATTTACACACATTATACAATCTTTTATTATGAAAAGTTTAGTTAAGGGGTGCTTTGAGAAGGTCAGAATCCATTATGGGTATTTCCATTATTTCTTATGGGAAGGGTAGTCTTGACTTAAAAGCAACTTGAGTTACAACAAGCCCTTGCCAATGAATTGAGTTTGTAAGCCAAGGGTACACTGTATTCACTTTCACTTGATTTTCCCATGGTTGGCTAGCAGTGCTTGAATGTTTCAGTATTTATGATGTGCAAGATAAAAAAAAAAAAAAAGATAGAGACTAAATTAAGGAAAAAATCAAAGAGGTCAGAAGCATCATGAAAGAGACCAGCTGTGATTTTTATATGGTCCCAAACTAAACAGAATGTCTGTCAGAAGTTGAACATTGGCAGACCTATTATAGCCCTCATCTGTAGAAAGCAACACAGTAATGAAATTCATATACTAGTATTCAATAGCTAAGGAACTCTTCATAGGTTTATTGTTGATCTAAAAGTATAAATGTTTAATATGTTGAGCTTTGGCTTCATTTCTCAGAAGAGAAATACCACAAAAAATGTAACATAGGAGAAGCAGGAGAATTTGTACAATTTTGGGAAAACAACTGACTAGAACTTTTCAAATATGAGTAAGCAAATATATACACACCTAAACACATTCACATCTACAGGTAACTCTTAAACAGACAAAACAGTGTTATATTGAAAAAATATGTAATAGTATAAGCAGAACAGCATTATAAAATCTCCTTTCTATTTTATTAAAGTTCAATAAAACCTGGTAGAATTTGTTTTGAGAAAGAGATAAAAAATTAGACTGAAATATCAAGTTGAAATAAAGCATGATGTCTGAATAGAATTTTGAGTAAAAGGCCAAAGTAATTTTGCTTTTAAATAAGTAAAAGGCAAAGTGAACACTGCAAAAAGTATAAATAGTAATAGGAATAAAAAGTAATCTTTCTGAAGATGAATTTAAAAGGGTCAAAGATTATGAAATGATCTCTAATTCTGCTAAAATGATCAATAGCAATTGAATAAACTATATTATGCTTTCAAATAAAAAGCCGATATAAGTTAGAAAACAAGGACAGTTTTATAAGTCAATTGCATTCCTTCTTTTTTAATTTAATCTGTTATTAAGTAATTTGTATATTATTAGGTATTTTTCTCCCAAAGTACAAAAATATTACATATTATTTCAATGACCAAAACATAGAATAAAATAAAATACTCTGCCTTCTATTTTTTCATCATTTCACCCACATAAAGATTTTATCATACATAAATGTGATAGGTATAGAAATAAAGATAGTACATTTTTATAATTTATTTTAAAATCAAACTATACTCATTGAGCCATATGTAATTTTCTTATTTATTTATTTATTTATTTTATTTATTTTTTTTTTTCGGTTTTTTTGAGACAGGGTCTCACTCTATAGTTGAGACTGACCTGAAATTCATTATGTAGCCCAGGCTGGTCTCGAACTCACTGTGATCCTCCTGCCTCAGCCTCCCAAGTGCTGGGATTACAGGCGTGCACCACCACACCCAGCTGTAATTTGCTTTCTGATGAAGACATTACAGACATTCTTCCAGGTCAAAACTTTGTTCATACACTCAACAACTTGGCTGCATGTTGGAAATATATGAGAGCAATTTTTAAAAATCTTGATATCCTATCTATCCCCAGGTTAATTAAACCAGAAACTTTGGTGATAGTTCTAAAGCACTGATCACTTTAAAATGTTTCAAATGATTTTATTTCCCACACAGTGTAAACAAACCTTGATGTGGAGCAAATGCATTAATTTTAAAAACAACAACAACAAAAATCACTCATGTCTTCACAGTGATTGATCTCTCAGTGAACAGATCATCCCTCAATTAGGCAGCTGACCTGATAGCATTCTTTGTTTTTCTGTCCCACTTTTGATCACTTTAAATTCAGGATTAGTGAAAACTTTGTTAGCGTTTTTAAAAAAAATATTTCATGCCAGTAATCTGTAGTATTTATTTATTCTGATTACTCTTCTAGATGGTCTTCAACTCTTCCACAGCGGTTGACCCTCGGCGAGGCTCTTGTTTTTACATTCCATTAAAATAGCTCCTGGAAAAGTCATTGACAACTTCCACATTACCAAATCACATACTGTATTTGAAACTCCAGCTTAGTTAAAGCACTACAATCATTGGAAACATTTTAACTATTTCCTCCCTAAAGTACTTTTCTTTTTCATGTTTTCGCTGTTTCTCCCATGTTAATTCTACTGTGTCATTCTAGGTCTCCTTTCTTTCTAAGTACCGTCATCACTGACTTCTACACATATGATTGCTTCAGACCTCTGACCATACATGTTTTCGTTCTTTAGATTACTTCATGTCTTTCATGCCAAATGTCTACTGACTCTGTTCAATATTGCTGATGGATTTTTTTTTTCCTTTGGTACTGGGGATTGAACTCAGGACCTTGCACTTACAAGATGGATGTGGTGTCATTGAGCTAAATCCCCAGCCCTCACTGATGGATTTTTCTCTCATGTAAGTCAAGACCAAGGTCTTCCAGTGTGCACAAAGCACTACAAGCCTGCCTATCATTTCTATTATTTTCCTCCTGCAACAATGGACAAGCAATCTTGGTCACAGCTTTTAGGGTCTTTTGCCTATTACATTAGTGAATTTTTGATCACTCTGACAAAATTCCTGAGATAATCAACTTATAAGGTAGAAAAGCTTACTTTAGTTCATGGTTTCAGAGGGTTCGTTCCATGATCTGTTGCCTTTGAGCAAGTGGCAAGACAACATATCATAAGGCAGAGAAAGATACATCATATCGTCTAGGAAGCAAAGAAAGAAAATAAAAGGCAGAGGTCCTGTTGTAGTTGATATCTCAAACATTCCCCCAAAGCCTTGTGTGCTGAATGGATGAGATTTTTGAGGAAAGAGGTTGAATCATTAAGACTTAACTTCAACAAATGGATGAATCAGTTGATGGGACCATAATTTGATTACATTCCTGGGAAGGGATGTAACCAAAAGATAGGAACTTGTTGAAGGAAACGTATTATGAAGATTTGAATTTACAGACTATCTCTAGTTCATGATCTCTTCCTCTCTCACTTTCTCTCTCTCTCTCTCTTTTTTTAAATTCCTGGCTACCGTGTTGTGAGCATCTTTTCTTCACCATATGCTCCCATGACATTCACAGCAATGGAACCAGCTGACCATGGACTGAAACCTCTGAAACTGAGAGCCAAAGTAAATCACTCCTCTTTCAGTTGAATGTTTCAGTTGTGGTTTAGTAGAGAAACATTTCATATATCTATCTATATCTATCTATCATCTATCTATAAAATGCAAAGACATAGGTATAATCACACACACACACACACACACACACACACACACACACACACACATATATGAAATACAAAGATATACATATATCCATGCGATTCTACAAAGAATTTACTAGATAGGATTACTATAGCCACCTATGGAGTCAGGGTTAGAAAATTCCAGTCACAGTTTGTATCCTGAAGACTCAGAGGATCATTGGAAGGACAAAAGCCTGGCACCCTCTGTAGATCAGGGTATGAGTCTCATCATAAAGCCAAAAGTCTGCAGTAGAAGGCAGAAGAGACTGAAGCATCTTGAAAGGAATGTCCAAAAGCCCTAGTGAGCACGAGTTCCTCCAAAGGAGAACAGGGAATTCTTCCTTCTTTTTTCCCTTTTTATTCTATCTAATTGACAAGCCTATTGGTTGGTGCCACCCCGAAAGGACTGTGACTTCTCTCCTCAGTTTGAGGCCTACCTGTCATCATCCACAGACACACCCGGAGCTTTATAAATCTGCTAGAAGGCTTTTATTCAAGTCAAGTTAACACAGTCCAATTAACAACCACATTGTCTTTTTCAGACATTTGGTCACAGCAGCAAAGTTGATGAACACAGGTCCCAGTAGCCCTCACTGACCTAATTTCCTCTCCCTAGACCCCATCTCTTAACATTTCTACTGGTTGCCAGCAGTGCTACAGTCTAGGCATGAAGACTTTAACAGAAGGGCCTTTGGAAGATATTTAAGATCCAAACCATAGCACACATAATTTTCTATCTCTTTTTTGTAGGAAATCCACAAAGCTTATTCTCCCACTGTTTGAATTTTTAAATTAATATTAGCTATCCAGTTGGGATTGGTGCTGCACACTTATACTCCCAGCACTCGGGAGGCTGAGGCAGGAAGATCACTGTGAGTTCGAGACCAGCCTCGGCTACGTAGTGAGTTCCAGGTCAATCTCAACTACACAGTGAGACCCCGTGTCAAAAAACAAAACAAAACAAAAATATTCGCTATCCATATGATTTTATCAATCTATATTAAGCAGTAACATTCTCCACCATTGCCCTTTCTGTCACTGTCATTCCACATAATTTTACTTCGCACTTAATCAACATCTAAACACTTTCCATTCCCATTCAATTATTCACTTAACATTCCACAACTCTTCCTTTCTATACTATGTGTTTCATTATTCCAAGAGCTTTCTTTCTTTCTTTTTAAAGCTTTTTCTCTTATAGTACTTAGAACCATCTGCTACCCTGTAAGAAATGGAGAATTTGGGTACATGAATGAATGAGTGCTCATTTGTATTTTCTCTTCAGTGCATGACCATTATGATTTTTAAGTGATATTTTATGCCCTCTTTATCTTCAAGTGACTGACAGGCATTTTATCCTGATTTATTGTTTTTTTTTTTTTTTAGTTTACAGTGTCATTTGTCATACATAAATGTTTAATTTTAAATGCATTAGATAGAATCACCAA